TGTTGTATAAAAAGTAGAGTTACTATGAGTGCTGTTAGGTAGATCTGAGAGAAGGAAATGATAATAAAATTCAAGTTAACTAAAATCATATTATAGGATCTTTTGCACTATTACGAAACTATACTGTTTTGATTAATGATTAAACTTTGGAATCGTCATGGAGTTGGACTGCCTTCTATAAATAATAATTTGTAATCATCTCTGCTTTTTAAGATAATAGCCCTGAGATATACTGCAAGACTATGAATCATCTAGGAAGTATTGTTCATTTAAAAAATATTTGGTATAGGCTAAAGGTATGGCTCAAGTGGTAGAACACCTTCCTAGTAAGCATGAAGCCCCAAGTTCAAACCCTAGTACTACAAAAAAAAAAAAATGGTATCCTCTATTTGCCAAACACAGTTATAGCATAGGTGCTGGCAAACCATGAAGCCAGGGTGGGGGTGGGGGAGTGGTTAGTAGCTGCTGGGTGATAGAGTAAAACAATAATGAATCTTCAGGTCTATAATGTAAAAGTCATTGGTGGCCTTAAATGGTGTCAGGGCAATAGCAAAGAGGCCATAACCAGACCTTAGTGAGCTAAACACTGAGGAAGCAAAGTAACACATGAAAATATCTTGAAAAACCTGAGTAGGAAAAGAAGTAGAATGGTGACTAGGTGTGATTAAAAGATGAAAGAAGTTAGAATACACCTATACACAAACTGACCATGGTTGTATACAAATAAGAATGATACAGTAGAGAAGAAGATAATGGTGCAGGAAATGGGGGGGCTACAAAAGCAACAATCACAAAGGTTGAGAAAAGATGGGATTCCAAGCCCAAGTGAAGAGGCTGGTCCTGGCCAGGAGCAGGGAGCTTTCTTCCACTGTGCCAGGGAAAAAGACTTAGACTATGGGTAAATACAGCTAGCATTTAACAGGTATTTTAAAGCACCTGCACTGTGATGGGCAAGGCAGTATAGCAGAAGAGATAAAATTTCTTGCTACAAATGGTAACAAAATAAATAAATAAAATATGTAGGATGTCAGATGATGTAAAGGGCTCTCAAGAAAAATAAACCAGGAAAGTTGGGCAGGAGTGTATAGAGTGCTAGGGCAGGGGTGAGAGTGGATTGCAGTTTTCATAAACTTGTTGTAACTTGTATGAACTTAGTTCATTACCCTTATAAATAGGTTAAAACAGGTTTTAAATATGCTCTTATCATATAAAAACATATTAATATATGTTTTGGTTGGTATATGAAGTGCCTTACAAAAAGGCTCAGGTGGTGAAGTCTTGATTCCCCAGCTGGTGGATCCAACCCATTGAGAAGTGATTGGATCATGAAGACTTTGATCTAATCAGTGGATTCATACATAATGTGATAGCATTATTGGGAGGTATTGGGTGCAAAGTAGAAGTTGGGGCCTAGTCGGAGGAAGTAAGTCACTGGCGACATAACTTTGAAGGGTATATCTTAGCCTGCCCTGTCCTGTCTTCCTGGTTGCCAAAAAGTGAGCATCCTTGCTCTACCACATGCTCCTCACCATGATGATTCTGCCTCACCTTAGGCTTAAAGCAATAGAGTCAGTCAACCATGGACTGAAACCTCTGAAACTGTGAGCCAAAATAAATTTTCCCTTCCTTAAGTTCTTTATGTCAGGTATTTTGTCATAGTGAGGAAAGGCTGACTAACACAGTATATTTCTTCTCTACTAGACAATATGTCTATTTTGAGTAATTGTATCCTCAGAACCTAGCACAATATTGGCAACATAATATGTCCTATGGAGGGAGGGAGGGAAGAAGAGAGGGAGAGAAGGAAGGAAGGAGGGAGGGATGAAGGAAGGCTTGTTTTCCATAAGCCATAATTTTAAGAGTCTCATTATTGTGTAAAATGGCCTTTTCCAAGGCAAGAAGCAAGGTATGTTTTTAGAGCAGTGGAGTACATGAAATAGAGCATCCTCTAATTTAAATAATGACTCTACACTTCATTTTTTTTTTTGGTTTGTTTGTTTCTTGTCTTATAGGAGCAATGCCAAAGGTGCTCCTCTGAACATAAATAAGGTCTCCAGTAGTCTGATTAACTTTGGAAGAAAGTTGATTTCCCCAGCAATGGCCCCAGGCAGTGTGGGTGGCCCTGCACCTGGAGGCAACAGTGGCAGCTCTTCCCCTGCTGCGATCCCCACCAGGGCCTCTGCAGAAGCCCCGAAGCATCATTTGCAGCAGCAGCAGCAGCAGCAGCAGCAGCAGCAGCAGCAGAGGCTGATGAAATCGGAAAGCATGCCAGTGCAGTTGAACAAAGGTAGGAAACAACACTAGTAAGTCCAAAGAACACACAGGGTAGCCTGGGATTTCATCTCTGGTCTATGAGGAACCAACCTTCCAGAAGCAGAAATTAATGAAAACTTAATTTTTAAAAACGTATTGTATGTAAGCCTTTTCAAGATGGAATTTCAGATACTGTATTCTTCTTTAGAACATTTTACAGGATAGTTCATGAGGTATTTTTAGCAGTTATGTCCTAGAACACTTGCATTTTTGTCCTGTGGATGCTCCTACTATACGATGGCATAAGCTGTCATAACACAGAATTTGAGGTCAGTTGGCTGCGTGCTCTGCAGCCGTGAATCATGGTGCTTCTGAGAGAGCACTGCTACCTCTCAGAAGAGACTGAGACCAGGGCTTCACTAATCATAGCACTCAGCAGTACATCGGAGTGGTTTGGAGGAAGCATGCCACTAGACTTGTCGTTCATCCCCCTGGCTTCACCTCTTAGAAATACAAACTAGAGTCTTAAGGAGGAAAAAACAAGCTAAACAAAATATCAACATCCAAAAGAAGTTTTGTAGTAAAAGTCATCACTGTATGATGTGAATGCCAAGGAAATCTAGGGTATGTCCTGACCCATATCTCACATTTAGTGAGGGAAAGCTGCTCCTGGTGGCACTCTTGCCATTGTGCTCAGTCCTTTTCTGCTTCTGGCCTTCCTGGTGCTTCCTGGTGCTTCCCTCCTTCATGCTCTTACCTATAATAGAAGCCTTAGGTTATACCTAGAGCCTCCACACTCTGATTTTCCACTTATTTTCAAATAAGTATAATATACTAGGACCCTCTATTCATAGCAGATTAGAAACAGCTACATTTATTTTTAGTGGTGCGATTCTGCTAACCATACTGTAGAAGCAAGAAATAGTAACATGATGGCAGAAAACACACCACAAGCAATCCTGAGATCTCAGAAAGCACAGCAGACCAAATGTCCTGACCCAAGTCTTATTCATGTCTTAAAAGGATCCCTGTACTACATTAACACTTAGTACTTAGCATTAACTAACAACAGCAGCAATAATACTGCCAGTAAGGAGACCTTAAAGTTTACTCCATATACTCTGCTCAAGAGCATTACATCCACACTTATTAAAAATAGTATAAATTGGCATTTAACTTGGTAAGTTTTAAATGGACTTTTTGCCCAATGACGCAATTTGCCAAGTGTTACACAAGAGCGAGTGTGTGTGCACGTGTGCAGCATGCGTGTGTCTATTCCTCCACTGGCTTATATCATGTTATCTATCCTTTCTATATTTTTTTGCCTGTATGAAACACTAGGCTTCATGTAATTAGTATTTAAATTTTTATAAGAATATTCAGTTTATCTTACATGAGAATATCTCATTTGAAATTACTTTCTTTTTAATGTAGAGCTGTCACACATGATTTAAGGAAAAAGAGACTTCAAATCATGAGCATACTGAAAATGTATTTTAATGCCAGAAGACATGCCCACTTCCAGAATGGAAATGAATGTTATTTTATATATTCCTTAATTGTACTGTTTTATTGTTCTAAACAAATATGATTTCAATATTGCTTTGATAACAAGCTTTAGTCAGTTATAATTCTAACTGACGGCAGGCAAATGAGTCAGAGAATCTCTTAATGCTGGAGCTTAAATTTTCTGAGGAACCAAGCCAAATGATTATAGAAATATAAAGTTGTGTCTCTAAGGAAATGTCAAGTATTAATATCGCAGTGAGAAAGGAAGTGCACGGAGATGGAACAATTGATGAAAACAAAGTCCCCAATTATAAGGAGACCACAGAGCATGTAAGCAAAATATTTGGAACACTGGGGCACTTTGTAACTAATCCCTGTCCTGAAAGAAATTGGCCTTGTTTTTATTTCTAGCTCATGCTTCTCTGTCACGATATTAAAAAAGCTTGTCCGCCTTCATGTTAAAGATAAATATTCCTGCTAATGCTTCTCCCCGCATAAAGGTTTGAAAAAATAAAAGACAAAAAGAATAGTTTGTAGAGGTAAAAAATGTGTACTTCAAGCTACTCCTTCATATTCCCCAAACAAGCCCGGAAGCTCTCTGACTCTGTTTCCTCACCTGACACAAGGGTCTGGGCTGAGCCCTGTGGAGTCTTACAGGGACTTCTAAAAATCTACAGTTCTTGTGGTGAAAAATAGATTAAGTAACTTTGCCATGAAGAACCGGTCCCAACACTGGTTCTTGATACTGGCATTTCGCACGAGTTCTCTTTCACACTACCGCAGACACGTGCACCCTGGCACCTGAAGTCAGTGAGCACTGCAAGTCTGTCAGGAGGCTGGGCTGGAGGTGATTTCCAGTCTCCTAGAGCAGGCCATCTACCTGATGCCTTTGAGGAAGTATAACGTGAGTGCCTTTTTACTGTAGTCTGATGGAAACTTGAACCTTGTTTTTGGAAAATGCTTGTTTCTAAAGACAAAAGTGTTCATGGCGTTCGTAGGTTACAGTTGTTTGTGCTTGTAAGGTAGAAGTTGGGTTTGTAACCCAGATTCATCATGTGTTGCTTAAAATGCTTTGGATAGTTTGTGTTCCTATTGGGGAGAGATAGTAAAGAAAGAAGAGGCAGCACAGCTATTTTCCATAATTGTTTTGGTGATATTTATATTAAAGTAAATTTTCAGCCAGGCACCTGTAATCCAGCTATTTGGGAGGATTGCAGTTTGAGGCCAGCCTGGGCAAAAAGTTAGCAAGACCCCATCTCAACAAACAAAATAATCCTCAGGTTCATTGCAGTGGTTCATTTCTGTAATCCTAGCTATGTGGGAGTCACATATAGGAGGACTGTGGTGTGATCTAAGGCAAGCCCAGGCAAAAAAAAAAAAAAAACAGAAGACCTTATTGAAAAGTAACTAAAGCAAAAATGGCTGAGGGTGTGATTCAAGTGGTAGAGAACCTACCTAGCAAGCATAAACCCTGAGTTCAAATCCCACTACTGCCATAAGTAAACTAATTAATATAGTTTTCAATCTGTACATATATACTAAAAACTGATCTAGAATCAGCAGAGTAAAATGAACAACAGATAGAGTTGAAAATCTCCTTCCAAGTGTACAGACAGTATCAGTCAATTTAGAGTTAATTGTATTACAGAAATTCAGATCCTGACCATCTCCACTAGAAGCTGATTACTGCTTGTTTGCTGTTTGCACCTGTGTATAGATTTTATTTCGGTTACGAGGGAATATCAGTGGATGTACTGGTACTGTTAAATTTAACTGATGAGGATGATATCACTACAACTCAACTATTTCCAGATGACCTCACCATGACGTGAATCATAATTGTAGTGAGTGGCCAGGACACGGAGACATGTTGCTTAACTCAAAAATTTCTTTTATTTACTGCTGTATAAAAGGTAAAGGAGAAGCAGGGTCTGTTAATTGTAAATTATCATGCATGGAAATGACCAGTTTTCATTGTTAATCTCAAGACAGCACAGTTCTTCAGATGATATCTCTCCTGAGAATTATTTTGTTGACAGTGACTGTGCTCAGTGTTGAACTTTGTTATCCAGGAAGGAAACTAAAATCTTCCTTGTAAATGTTAGTGCACCTCAAACTCTTCACAGGACTTTCTGTTGCTACCTGTCTTTGTTTTCTGGGTTTTTATCAATGAACTCATTTTTCCTTCCTATTTCCTTTATCTGTGTTTTTAATGTTTTTTTTTTTTAATGTGAGCTCTGTGTTATTTTAAGTATTTTCCGGGTCCAACCTGTAAATGAAATCTTGCCTATAAGTACCTCAGATTAAGGATATGCAGTTCACAGATTTATTTTTACAGGTTGACATTTATAAATACATGTGGTAACTTCTGGAATCTTTTCATTAGCTAATATGAAATTAGAACTTATTTAGGGCTTAAGGAGTTTCTTTAAAGTTTAGTTAAAAATAAATTTGTCTAATATAGGAAGAAACCAGTTTCAAAAGAATGCCTATTAATAAATGATGTACAACTTACATTTACATAAAGTCTTTTAAAAGGAAAGAAATTATAAAAATCACAGCAATGTTTGTAGCATCATGAAATCTGCTCAGAAAAATCTTCTGGTTGCTAAAGTTTCCTGTATTTCAGTAGTAGAAGCTTGTTTACCATTTCTTTAGGAAAAACAAGCACAAAACCTTTTTAGGAAACACTTAAAAAATTATTTCCTTTAAAAATATTTTAAATAAATTTTTCTAAGCAACTGTATTTTCTGTTGAACTATATTTTTAGTAATCGATTAAAATATTACAACATTGAGCATGAAAGAAAATTAAAGTTGATTATTTTCTTTTCATGAAATCTAATTACTTTTTCTTATAAAATCCAGGCGATGTAGTTACAGGAAGCGATGCTCAGGTTACTGTTCCTGTCCAGACCCTAACTGACCTCCAAGGTACAGTTGCCATTAACAACATTGTCTAACAGCATTGTCATGTGTTGCTCTCGCTCTCGCTCCAGCACTCTCTCTCTCTCTCTCTCTCTCTTCTTACACACTCTCTCTCTCTCTCTCTCTCTTTCTCTCTCTCTCTCTCTGTGTCTCTCTCAATTTTTCCTGTTCCCCTCTCCATTCATACTCTGTATTAGCTCATTACCCGTGTTCACCCACTGGGTGTCACTGTTGTGTAGAACAAACGTCCCCTCTCCGGTCATACCTCTGTGATGCTGAATTCGGGCTTAGTAAGGGCTTTCTATTAAGCGAGCTCAAGCCTCGTTGCTTGCAAAATATGATTCACCCCATGTTTGTTATTTTATCATTAAATTTTACAGCATAGCTGACATCAAGTTGTCCTTTTGTTGCAGAGCTATTCTGTAACAGTATTTGACAAGTTAGTTCTGAAATTAGACAGTTTATATGTTAAGATTAGCCATATTTTACCTAAGGAAATTGCAGCCTGTTTTTGAAATGTTTTTAAGTACAGCCTTCATATTAGGAATTATATTAATACAAAATATCCATATGCAGTAAGTGGCAATGGTTTCAAATA